CTCTGCTTAAAAAAGAGAAGTAATTCAAAATATTGCAGGTGGATGGAGCCCTAACGACTAAAAGACCAATCAGAGCTGGTGTGTTAAAATCTTCTAACCTGCCATTTAAAAAGCAGGCTCAGTTTTTACATGTTTTGTGTACATTAATTAGAAATAAAAAAGTAGAAGTGTACAAAATCCATTGTTCTCTAAAAGCCATGTGGGTGTAAAATAATGACGTCCTCCTATGCGAGTGAGGTAATTAAATTAGTTTTTCCAAATTATCCGTCTGTGAAAACAAAATGGTTTTATTTTTGTTAAAATGTGATAAAATATGTTTAAATTCCCAATAATTCTCATAATTCCCATGCAGTTTCCAATTTGGCATATTTCCAAATTTCCTCAGCTTAGCATTTTATAATAAATGTACTGTATGTGATTAAGTGTAATCTGACGTTCTGTAGAGTGATTATTACTTTTTGTACTGGTATTCTGTTTGTTACCAACAGCAGAGATGAATCTTTTAAAGGGCTTTTACTCACAAACCTAGTAGTTTCATTTTAGGTCATTATTTCCAGCCAGACGAACAATGTGTTTACATTCAATTAACCCCGAGCAGGGGTGTTTCTGTTTAAGAAGAGAAGTTTCCATATATTATACGCAAGGGTTTCCTTTTGTTCTTGTTCAAAAAGCACAACAGTCGAGGCTCAGCTTTGCCCACAAACCAAGCAACAAACATTGGCCGATTTAAATTAATTTGTATGGTGACAACAAAACCACATAATACAAATTCCAAAAATCTGACTGGGGTTTGAATTGATTATTTTGAGGTGCAGTGAATAGAAAGAATTGGAGAATGCTTTTTACATTTTGTGTCAAAAGTGATTCCAAGGTAACCCCTCCTTTTTAACTCTCTCTGCTTTGCCTGTGCAATTATCATCCCCTTTATGTGTGACTTTTCCTTTCTCGAGTTTAGTATTAGCTGCTCAGTTATAGTGGTGTGCAGAGCTTCCTTCTCTTTCGCTGCACCGTGTAAAATTTCATCCGTTCGCATCTGAGTGAATTCCTTCAATAATTTAGTTTAGTAAAAGTCAGTAAAAACGAGGCCAGAGTCAGCTCTGCCTTAGATTTCTTGGACTTCCTTGTTTTGGTTTGTGTGTTTTGATCATGTGCAAATGCTTTGCAGTGTGGCATTAAATGGTTTTCAGCTGCGAACATCTCAGTCTCTGCCTGTGTGTTGGAGGGAGGGGGAAGTTCCCAGTTGTGCAGCGGTATATTAACGCAACAGTAATGGTCTCTGTACAGTGTAGACAGCAGACATAGAAGGTCTGCACCCTGTGAACCTTGCTCCAAATACAGGAGCTGAGTTTTTCAGCTTTACAGCAAAAGTGCTTTTCTCTGTTGTACTTGAAGTGGCGGTCATTATCAAATCTGTTGCAAAAGACACGAAAGAATAGCAAAGAAGTTCTTGTGCTGGAAGACGGAGATCTGCAATGCTTATGTCCTTATTTAGCATCTGAGTTGCTAAGTCATCAGTTTAGAGAGCTGATGGACCTCTGAAGAGCTCCTGCCTGCTGAAGCTTCTGACATCCAAACTCTTCCAGTTGATTACTTTTATGGAAAAATAAAAAGGTGTAAGGGATATGTATAGATTGTTTTTTTGAGAGTTTTTTTTTTTTTCAGCTTTGTGTTTTTGTTAGGAAGGGGTTTAGATTCGCTTATGGCAAGATCACAATAGAAAATCATAACTGTAAATGATGGCAAAGTCCTGTAGTGCTGAGAATCTTCTCAACAGCTGGAGGCTTACTGGACCCTGGAACAAGTGGCAGATGATGGATGGACTTGTATTAGTTTTAAAACCAGTTTTAACACGATTTTTTTTAAATTTAAAGCCCAAACGCTACATTTCCTGTTTCACAAAGTTGTCGTTTTGTTTTACCGAAAGACCCAGAACTACATCGAGTTTGTGTTCCAGCCAGTAATAAACAGACATGTGAAGATCTTTAACATGTTAAATTAGATAATACGCTACAGTTCCCCATTGGTCTTCTTGAGTCAAACTCAACATCAGAGAGCAATAATGCAGGAACCAAACGATGATGTCACTTATTGTCCTCCGTCACATCTATAATTAAAACCGAGGGGAGAGCTGGTCGTGTTCATGTGTTTATATCTGTGTACGCGTGTGTCAGTAGGGGGTTCGCGTAGCCTGCAGCTGCCCAAAAACGAAGGAAGAATCAGACGACAAAAATAGTCAGACATGAAAGAGGATAGGAGAGGAAGGAGGACCGGAGAGCTGAGCGCCACAAATAAGTGAGAGACAGTAGAGGAAATGTGTGTAAATTGCGAGGGTCAGTTGATGTTCTCTAGTTTGCGAGACCAAATCCACTCATGACGGGAATCTTAAAGGTTTATCGTTGTCTGGGCCGACCATTCTGAAGGGGAGAAGGAAAAACAAACAGGAAAACATTAAAATGCGAGACTGGAGATGCAGTTTTCCAATAATTACTGTGAAAACCTATTAATGTTATAACATTGGATCTGCTGCCAGGGTCAGATTATTTATATTAGGGTAATTCATTTTGAACAACTTGCAATGGGACCAGTTTGACTATTCTTTAAAACCATGTTTAATAAAGTTTTAGTCAAAATCACTTAAAGTCATTGGTTTCATTTATAATCAACTTAAGACAACAGATTTAAATGTGCTTTTGTTGGAATTGCAGCACATTTTTGTGATTTATATTAGAATTTGTAATTATAATTAACACCTATCAATAAATTAAGCCTGAAATTTCTATAAATTTGTTTAAAAAAACTGAAATGGAAGTTAGGATTGGCCTTTATCAGTTGGTAAATCCTGGTCAAGGGCCTCTATCCTGCATGTGTTGGTAATTTCTCGGCTCTTGAGCAAGTCTTCAAGCTCATTAATCACTCATCCATTCAAATCACTTATGTCAAAGCAGAGAAACATCTAAAACCAGCAGAGTAGTGTCCCTTGAGGACCAGGATCATCTTTATTATTTAATGTAGAACAGGTGATCTGCCTCCCATTCTTTCCAAAAATAAAAAATATAATAATTTGCTTTATCCCTCATTCAAGACCACATAAGACCCTTTTACCGCTCCTCCTGGTTTGACTTGACTGTCAGTTTTAAATCCTTGCTCCCCCTCGTTCTTTAAAGCTTAATCTGGCCCATTACGTTTTATTTAAGTCTACAGTGTCAGCATAAGGAAGCTCGTGGGGGGCGATTGAGACGCACACATTAGATCATACCATCTGGAGAAGGGGGAAAAGAAAAAGCTCAAAGCTGCTGGGGTAATCACGATGATCCTCGTTTCCCATGACCCAAAACTTGGAGAAGGGGGAAACGGTTAAGTAAAAGCATGAAGGGTGGGTACATTACAGGAAGTGGTGGAGCTTTAATTTGGTCATTTGTAACTAGTTTACGTTGGAGCTGGAGAAGAAAGGAAATGGACTATTTAAGTCTTCTTGCATTACAGCAGAGGACAATGTACCATTGATGGACACACACATAGGGCCTACCTGCAGATCAGCACCTTTGTGTTTTAGTTTGTGTGCACCACACTCTGTTTATTTCATAGACTGTGCGTGCGTGCGTGCTGTGTGTGTGTGTCTTGTCACCCTGGTGCCAGTCGTCCTCTCCTCTGACCCCGATCTCTGTCACCTGTCCTCTCAGATCACAGACACACAACACGCACACATCAGCAGACATCTATAGACGCACACGGTTGCTGTGACCCTTTCCTGGAGTTGAAACACAATCGCTGTTGCCAGTCGTACAAAACCTGCCAGCACAGCAAGGTTTTGTTTTTGTTTTCTGAGAGTGGGTTTTAGATGACGATGGACCAGATGATTTTATTTTAATTCATAAGGTCATGTAGGAATGTTTAAAGTTTTTCTCCTCTGCAGATTACATTACTTCTGTGTTACAAATAGGTTGAAAAGATGTGGTGAAAAATGCAAGAATGGAAAATATTTTACGTCTGGATTCTTCTTAAGTTTTTGTGCAAAACTTTATTAAATGCAGTAATATTTTGGGAACGCTGCCATTCTTTAGAGCACCGAATTTAATTAATTAAAATTTTGTTTGGCATTATCCTTCGGTGCACCGATCCATTCATAGTTTTACCCATGTTGGCAAACCCTATGAGAAATTATTACCTGTTTTGATAATTGTTTGGCCACAAGTTACAACTTGCCAGCTTTCTAATTTCAAATCATGTCTACCACAGATTAAACACAACTGTGCTTTTATAGACATAAACAAAACTATTAAGTAGACGTTATTGGTACGACAAAACCATAGATAATGTCAATAACCACAGTTGACCTGCCATACACCAGCTGCTGTGTTGGTGAGAAGTTGTATTCATGCATTTATTTTTATTTATTTTTATTTTAATAGGACAAGTTTGGTTTACTTCCTGACTGTCATATCTTGAGAAGCTTCATTATTATAATTTTCAGCACATTTGCAGTTCTAACCCCTGGCAAAAACTATGAAATCACCACTTTTAGAGGATGTTGTTTCAGATGTTTAATTTTGTTTGAAAACAAATACCCGACACACGCCACAAAACTCATTTTTTTATAATTCCAACCAGTTTAATGATTTCTTATAAAATAAGTTGACTTTGTTTCATACATGTTGTCGGCTCCTTTTGTTGTGTTCTGCTCAGCCACCGTTTGTGGAAGGCTTATCATTGTGACGTGGGACATCCATTTTTTCATTTTTAAGCAGGCAGGAAAGTTAGTCACAGATGGAATCAACATTTGTGTAATACATCCCATTTGTCACAAATCAAATCTCTATTTCCAGAATTCAGACGTGTTGTTTTTCATTACCAATCTGTCTATAATGATTGTCCTCTGCGCGGAAGACATTGTTTTAGGACTATAAGTTTTCTATATTTTTGGTCTATGTGAAAGTTTGTATCTAGTTTTTTCATCTCATCTCTACAGCTGCATATATACCTATTGTCTGTTTTTGTTGCAGGAACAGAAGTCATCATCTGGCCGATACAACATGTCACAATGTCCCAACTCCAGGTCCATGACCACATCAGATGACCAGCCGCACATCGGTAACTACCGGTTACTGAAAACCATCGGCAAAGGCAATTTCGCCAAGGTCAAGCTGGCACGACACGTCCTCACTGGAAAAGAGGTGGGCACACGCTGAAAGCTTTAATCAAATCCAGTCGTTCCAGGGTTCGAACCTTTTTAAACCGCCTCATCACATGTTTTGGCAAACTCAGTTTCTCTATATGTGAGTTCCTTTTTGTCCAAATGTAAAACATTTTTGGCTTTCTACAAACATATCTTTTAAGTCTTCAGGCAGGTTGAGTAACCTTAAAAGCTTTTGCTACAGTGTTGTTTGGTGTGAGGAGCTGAGCTTTCTGGTTTTCCGGTCACGTTGTGTACCGTTCAGTCCAGCCTAATGGTACACAGTGACTTGACATCAAAAAACACCAGCAGGACAGTCAGTGCTGACCACAATATCAGGACTTTTTGCTTCTTAAGACATCTAAAATCTACATGAATTGCTCATATATTATCACAAAAGATTAGTGTAGATTTTAGAGTTTAGGTTTTAACTGAGGAATGGATTTATCAGGTTGTGGTACTGCTGCGTTGTCTGAATCAGAACGACATTTGATTTGTGAGACTCTGTGATCCCTGTAGATTGTGGGACATCTTTGAGCTTGAACTGGTTTTTGCTGCTGAATTAAGAGAGTGTTTTGAGCTATTATAGCTTTGTTCCCAGAAAGGTTGAACATCAAACTTATTTGTCTTTAGCAGTCAGGGAGATCGTACCGTATATGACGACCGCCACCTTTGATTGTGAGAGTGTAGAAAAGATCAATTATGTAGCTTTTGTTTCTCACTCAGTAGGGTGTAAGAAAATATTGATACACTGAAATAGCACAATATTTCATTTTCTGTTATTCTCTAAAGCAGTGGTTTTCAAACTTTTTTGCTTCCAGCCCACAAATTACCAGTTGCAGACACTCGTGATCCCAGTTATTACTTGTTTATGTATGCAAACTTTACTAATAACTCAGTTAAACATGGGAATAACAACAATGTAAACAAACCTAATAACTATGATACTTGTGTTCATTTATGATTATTTTAAATAAATGCAATAATCATGGTGAAAATATTCCATTAGCAATTTTTTTGCATTTAAATTGATGACTGGAAATCATATGGGGACATGTTTCGTGACCCACAAATGGGTCCCGACCCCAAAGTTGGGAACCCATGCTCTAAAGCACTGTATCGATATTTAATTAAGGCTTAAAATGTCAACTTTCATACCAGCCATTAGGCTCCTCCACTCCTGAAGAGCCTGAGAGTATAATGCCAGCTCAAACATTAGCATTGGTGCTAAACGTTAGCACTAAGAACTAATGGCTGAATCCGGCTGGCACACATTGCTTTCAGAGCTGAGGTAGAGTTGTCAACACCGACATTAGCTTCATTTTATATGTTTGCTAAAATTTAACTTAAGATATGGGCTATTGTTAATGCGATGGATGACTACATTTTTTATAATAAATTGATAGTATAAATCAAAATGCTGCAACAAATACTTTATATTATGAAACAATTTAATGGCACTTTTGGCCTAACCTTTGAAAACATGGATGAAATA